CACACACACACACACACACACACACACACAAACATACACACAATCAAACAGCAAAATACCCAACAGCATATTATAAGTGCATATATGTACGTTTTGCGTTCATCACGTTTACATCGACTACCGGTACTTGGAACTTAAATTTTGAATACATTACTTTGTACTGCTATTTGTGGTAGGCAATGTAGTTAGCGAAGTGGTAGGCAGAGCGGGGTACCTTTCGCATCTGTCATGATGATAGGACGGGGCGATGTACTTGGAAAAGGCGCTGAACGAGTCAGAAAACTGGGACATAAAAGACCGCGCTTTGTTCTTGAAGCCAGGTCCAGCGAAAGCGAAGGTATAGTTGTCCATGTTTAAGCTGCTGTGAAGAAGAAATAAATAATATGAATAAATATCATAAAATTATGTCTTTTTTTTAAAAAAAAGTGTTTGTTTAAGTTCTTTCAGCGTTAAAAAAAATAATAATATGAGCAACTGGGTCGAATTATTGTGAGAGGCGACCGGTGTCACTCTTTTGTCCTCTGTTATAATAAATGTAGGTTTGAAGAGGAAACTATAACAAGTTCACGCTCATGCTTGCATGAACAATTGCAAACACATATGTGAAGTGTGCTGACAAAATGAGTTGCTTCTCAGATTCAAACAGATAAATCACGCTTATAGGTGAAGTTTTCACAGTTTATAAGTATGAAATAATCAAAGACAGGTTATAGTTAAAGAACATGGCATCAATGGAAAATCTACAAGTTTGACCCTTACGTCGATTTTTGGCCAATATCTCCATTTGTGGATTGCAAGAAGTGACTCATTTTGTCAGCATGCCTCGCATATACGCAGGCTCACACACTTGACACACTTTTTAAAAATGTACCGTAGGTGTTTTACGCCCCCATCGACATAATAATTTATTTAAAAGGCAGATTTCTATTCTGCTTATCAGGACCAGCCCGGCTTATTTGGAAAGAGTTTTACGCGCTATGCAGCTATATAAGGTCATCATATGAGCAACCTGACTGAGATGGACACAACATCTCAGCAGAACGAACGAGATACTCAATATGTGAGGCATCGTAGTAAAATCAGGCGCATGTCGAAATGATGAAATCAAAGAAACTGGGATGATTTTTCTGACCGTTGGGTAACTTTTTACGACCCCGCCCCCTTCCTTGTTTTATATTTTGCTCAACACCTTTTATGTCCTTTTGAAAACACTTTTCTTTGTGGATTTTACAGAATAAAGTTGGTTAAAGGCAAAAAACAAAACAAAAACAAACCAACAATCCCAAAACAAACAACAACAAAAACCAAAAGAAAATACTGTGTGCAGTTTTCAAGGACACTCGAACTTTTGACGTCACTAAACGTTGGCTGACATTTTCTCGTTTATTTTACCACTTACACCATGTCACCCCCACCTCTTTTAATCGCACATATCTTGACTTCTATTCAGGATAGATGGGTTTTTTTTTTTTTTTTTTTTGGTGCAAAACAAGACAAAATGAACAAAATTTCAGACAATACAAATAGCTCCATAATATTATTATTATGTTTAAAGACTGACGAGCGAGGCTAGTACCGGTATCCTCTCTGACGAACATCTGATACCACCGCGTAGTGACGCGTATAAATGACCCCCACACGGAAATCAAGCTCAGGTCCTTTGCGTCCGATGGCGAAGCGCCTGACCGCAACACTGCAGAAGCTGGTCGAGCACGCTTTCAAAATACATAATAACTATTATACAGTACAAACATAGCCTTCATTGATAAACAAAGGACAAATACACATCGAAAGCACATGTAATTTGCACATACTCATACATCAAAGCATTTTCACGCACGCACTACACACAACACACATTCACACTCACGCAAACAAGCGTACTATCAAACGCACATGCACCTACGCGCTCGCCAAATACAACCAAACAGACAAGCACAAGCACACATACACACATACAGAAAGACACACACACACACACACGCACGCACCCC